TTTGCCTGCAAATTTGTGTGAATGTCATTTAATGGGGAGAGAGCCCATTACATTAATCAGATCTCAGTTCTTGACCCTTCAAAAGGTGCAGAGCCAACAATGAAATGTCACATCACCAAATCAAAGTAGTGTTAAGATTCCCCCTGAGAACAGTTACTTTCTACTGTTGTGTGGCCTTGATCTCAGAGTTTTGAAATTATCTTTCCAGGTCTCCTTTCCTGCCTAAAGCAGTCAAGCATATTTGAATGGTCATTTGTAATAGAGATATTTACCCAATGAGGTACTTCAGAAATCTCTTAGAGATCCTTGCTTGTCTCATTTTACATGAGCCTGGTGAAATGGGGGCATATTGCCTTGGCAGCTTTGTTAGCAGGTACCGTATCTGTTTCTTCTGACAGGTTAAAGGAAGAGTAGAAGCAACCCGATTGTTTGGCTCTTGGTATCAACTTATTACAGGTGGATTCAGATCCCCAGAGTTAGGAGATGAAGGTTAGCGGGAAAGAGGAGGAGGGGGATGGGTTCAAGGAGGCGGAGGCGGAGACGGAGGAGTAGGAGGAGAGGAGGTGCCCTGCGCTTGTCTGGAGTCCCTCTCCTCTGGACCTGTGGGAATAAAGAGCTTCCTTTTGAAACCACACTTATCTCAGGACTTCTCTAGTACCAGGACCTCTGGAAAGTCAGTTCATAGATGTAATTTCTAGTTCTGTTAGTACTTGAAGGGAAATGAGAGGAAGGAAGTATCTTTTAAATCTTTATCTTAGGCTATTTTGTTAAAATGGCACCTCAGTAGAAAACTTCTGTAGGCTAGAGTTTGTTTGGCTCATATAGTGTTTAACAACTAGTTGCTTACATTTAAGCATCAGAGATTTTACATCTGTCTGACCCCTGGAGGAATTTGGATTCTGGCCTCTGCTGCAGGCTGTAAAGTCTGGTTCTGGGACAAATAGAGAATATTTAGTGAAGGAAAGGGCCCAGGAAGGATGAGGGAGATTAGAAATAAAAGATTACAAGTGTAAACAATAGCTGTTGAGTCTCCAAATATTGGTCACTGGAATTTTTGGATATAAAAACAAAATGAACAGGATGTGATTCTATTTCTGACTTTGAGATAATACTGCAAGAGGTACACTAGCGGGGGAACTAGTTCCTTCTCTGTTTCTCAGCTTCCTAGGTCTGCAGCCTGCCAGTTGGATCTTCCTCCTTGACTCCTTCAGCCCCTTGTCCCCACTAACTCTGAAAGATGATATCAGGGGCTCCGGCAGCAGGGAGCTTGCCATTTTCCTCTCTTCAGCTCCTAGACTCAGTGAATGGCGCCACAGAGTTACCAAAGGCAGAAACCTGGGAGTCTTCCCATGTTCTTGCCCTTCTCTGAACCCGCAGCCCTTCTTGCACTTCCCACCTGCAAAGAGCACACATTTATATAGGTTGTAAGCCTGCTAGTGGCCCCTTTCTTTTTTGGTTATAGCTAATATACAACTTCTTGTCCAAGATTACTGCTACAGCCTTCTAGCTGGTCGGCTGGCCTCCAACTCCGGTCCTCTTCAGTATGTTTTGTACACTGTTGTCAGTAATCTTTATAAAGCACAGATCTAAACAGTTCACTCCCATGCTTAAACTCCAGGATGCTTGCCTGCCCTCGGGATGGTGCAGTTCCTCGGCTTGGCATGTGCTGCCCTCGAGCTCGCTGTGCCAGTCTCAAGCCTCATCTCAGCACACTCTCCGCTCCCCTCTTCTGCTTGAGCTGCAGCAAACATTCAGAGGGCCGCAGAACTTCATCCTGGGACAAGGGGCCACACTCTGGGGCTTTGAGGCTGCTGGAGCTCCTGGCCATTATTGACCAGGCCAGTGGTGATGCTGTTACCGCTGACCATGAGGTTACTGAACGTTGTTTTAGGCTTCTCTGTGGTTCTTTTGTCCTTAGACTATATGCTACTTGAGATGTATAGTCAAAACTGTCCTAATGGCACTTGTCATTGTTTTCTCTGTGTGGTTATGCCACCAACTTGATAAACTTGATAAACACATTCATTTGTTCATTTGTTTTTAAGTTTAAAAATTGCTTTTAAAAGTCTAGTTTCGTTTTTTAACTGTAAACATTTACCTGGTTCCAAAATCAAAACTATATAACAAGGTACATGCATAGACATTTTTATTTCATGCCTGACTCCTCTTTTTTTCTTGAGTCTTGCTGTCAGATTGGGCTTAGCCAATCTGTTAGGTAAGAAATAACATACCAGTGTAGTTTAAATTTGTTTTCTCCATTTTTGAGATACACAATATCTGCCCAATGTCTGTGGTATAAGTTGCAAAAATATTTTTTCCGATTTGTCATCTGCCTGACTTTGCCTGTTTTATTGCTATACTAAAGTTTTATATCTTCATATAGTCATATTTATCAGTCTTGCAGTGTATGTACTGCTTTAGACCAGCAATTTTCAACCTTTTTCATCTCATGGCACATAAACTAATTACTAAAATTCTGCGACACACCAAAAAATATATTTTTTGCCTATCTGACAAAAAAGGTATAATTTTGATTCATTTACACCGGACAACTATTGTTGTGTTGGTTGTTGTCATTTGTTTATTTAACAGTCTTTGGGAGAAGAGGTCAGTGTCCCTAACTAAATAGTCAGGTATTGCATGCTTTAACAATTCTTATGGCACACTGGGTGAAAATCGCTGATTTAGATTTTGAGTCAGAATAAGGAAGTTTGCCCAATTCTCAGTTTATGAGGAATTCATTGTTTTCTCCTTTTACATACATGGTTTCACTTTTTCTTTTTTAACATCAGAGACTCTGATCCACTTGGAATTTTTTGGCATTTAGTTTGAGGAAGGATCAGTTTTATCTTTTTCCCAGTCAGGTGTCCCAACACTACTAAAAATCCTTACCTTTTCTGCACTGACTTTAGATGCAGTCTTTCTTGAATATAAAACTCTTGTGTGCATTTGGAATTCTTGCTGGAGTTTCTGTTTTGTTCCATTGGTTTGTCAGTTCATAGGCCATTACAAAAGCATCATAATTTTAGAGCCTTTTAACTTGTTTTACTATCTGGAAGGGCCAATTTTTTCATATTTCCCTTTTTCAGAGTTTTCTTGGCTGTTTTTGCTCATTCTGCCATGTGACCTTTATAATCAGTTTGTCTAATTTCAGGAGGAGACAGACAACTTGATGGAGTTTTTATTGGGATCAGTCTAAATTTATAGGTCAGCTTAGGGAGAACAGACATCTTTATGATACTGAGTCTTCCTCTCCAAGATCACGGCCTGTCTTTCCGTTTGCTCAAGGTTACTTTTATGATGTTTCAGGAGAGCATTATGCTTTTTCTTGTATAAAATGTGTATGCTTCTTGTTCAGTTTACTAGCTTTCAGTCTTAATTTTAAAAATAATTCCTTGAGAATTCCTCCAAAACTTCTCAGAGAAGTTGCATACACCCATATACTCCAGACTTACTGCATAACATTTTGTTTGGTTCTGCGATACACCGCAAAAGCCCATCTTGTTATATTGTCCCCTCAGAGTCCCTTCTGTTGTCTGTGTGCCTCTTTCCCATTCTCACTACCTAGCTTTGTGTCCTGCGAAGTAATCAGTCAGCACACGGTTGCTGAATTGATAAAGAAAGCAGCAGGGGGACTGAAGGCGATGGGAGCGGGAGCAGCCTGTGAGACCTGTAAGTCTGCACTCTGCAGCCACTAATCCACCGACTCACAGTGTTTTGCTCTCTTTATTCCCATCCCCGAACTTTAAAAAAGAGCATGTTGGTAATAATAGTTGGCACTTATTGAACACACCTACAGAGCGCCAGGCATTGTACTAGGTGTTTTTACATAATTACTTCTTGTAATCCTACAGCAGCTAAACAATAGGTACTGTTATCCCCATTTAAAAAATTATTATGGAAATGTCAAACATACCAAAGTGAGGATAGCATTGTGAGCTCCCATATACATGGTAGCTCCATTTTACACTTGAGAAAACAGGTTTGGAAAGGTTAAGTAACTCAAGGTTACAAAGCTAAAGTCAGCTTTAGAACCTTTCTTTTTTTAGCTCCTTGTTAAGATTGTTTTTCAAATTTTAAACTCCAGCTGGCTAGGGAAAAACAGAAGAAAAACAGTTGAGAGCCACTCATCTACACTCAAACTGCTAGTGTTTTATTAGTCTTCCTGTCTGCTACATATCACAGACACTGCCCAAACTTTAGCCATTTGCAAGCAGTAGGCCCTCCTGTCATCACTCCTCTTGTGTGCTCTGCTCACGCTTTGCCTTTTCTTTGCCTGGTTTTATTAGTGCAATTCGATTCGTTGATTTTTAAAGGCCTGCCAGTGGTTTGGGTGCCCAGCTCCTAGCATGATTGCAGGAACATAATAAGAACTTATAAATTTAAATAACAGCGAAACTTACTGCTCTTATACATTTAGGCCATAGGTTGGCGTGGTACTGTAACTTCTGAATGTTGCTCTGAAGCCCTGGCAGTCATTAAATTTGACCACCCATACACCACTCTGCTATCAGCTGCCCTCAGTTCCAGTTAGATTCAAACCAGAGGGAGACTTTCCAGGGTCAAAGTCCAAGACAGCAGACTAATTGGCTCCTAAAGTTCTGGGTTTTCTTCCTGGGCAGCAAATTGTTGAGGATGAAATTTTCCATGTCTTCCTTTGAACATTTTTGAACGAATACTATAGAATCCATAGGCTCTTTCCCAAAGTTAAAGACAATAGGGAAGTTCTGCCATTTTGCATTTTTTTATTAGCTCCTTAAGTTAACCCTCTTGTCCTACTCCCTGGTGATGAACGAGAGAAAGACAGAGATGAAAGTAATTCCCGTTTCTTCAAAGGTGAGTGAAGCTACAGCCCTAGGAGGAGAGGAGGGTGGAGTTCTTCTCTGAGACGGACACAGAGGTGTGCCCAAGGGCGGGGTCTGAGCGGTATAGTGGGGCAGTAATGCGGGGGCGGGGGTTCGTCCTCTCTTCAGTGCTTCTGCTACTTAACTGCAAAGGTATAAGAAGTGAAGGATGTTAAGCTGAAAGTGGTCTCTTCCTCCAAGCTATGTCCACTGATGAGGCTGGGAAATAGGGAAATAGGGCCTTGGAGTCATGCTGGGCCTGCATGGGCTTTACATCCCAGCTGTGTGGTCTTGGCAAGTCGGGGGCTTGAGAAATGTGTGTATGGTACCTCATGTTGCACAAGCTAAGTAAGTTCTAAATAATGTCACCTGCTCTTACTTAAAAAATCACTTCAACTACTGTGTATCTTTGCAGTGCCTCTGAACAAAGAAGTTACCAGAAAAGTAGGAGAAAGACTCTAGGATCAAGAGCTAAACTGCTTTTTAAGTGCTTGAGCTTGGGTAAGGTCCCGTGGTAAAGGTTCCAGCTCCAGAGTCAGACAGCGTGGGCTCATTTACCGACTCTGCCACTCACTGGCTTTGTGATTGGGGGTGAGTCATTTCATCTCGCTAGGCCTCCACTTTCTCAGTTGAAAGTGGAGTTAATAATAGTAACCGCCTCACAGGTTTTGCAAAAATTATGTAAGGCCACCCATGCAAAGATCTTGGCACGGTGCCTGGGATATAATAAATCTTAGTATATGTTAGCTACATGTTGCTAGGTCGCTACCTTAACCCTTCCAGACTGTGTATGTCTTTTTCCCCCTTTCCAGAATGTCTCCCTTTTGCTTCCACTTAGAATATACAGCTCATACGTGGGCAACAGGAAGAGTCTCATGTCTGTCACTAGTTAACTAGAAGTTCTTAAAACCACTTTACTTCTCAAACTTCAATTTCTCATCTACACAATGTGGGGAATTGGACCAGGTGATTTCAGAAGTACTTTGTATCTCTTAATTTTCAGTGAGTTTAAGGCTTAGAATGAAATCTCTGATTATGGTCCAGAGATCTGTGCTATGAGAGGCCTAACCCTCTTCATTCTCTTTCCTACCTAACTCTTATCTCAGACCAGCTGTATGAAACTAGTTATGGGATTGTCTAGAAATTTTCTTTTAAAAAAGAATTTTGTTACATTTGCCATACAGAGAAGATACGTATGTAACATATAAAATGATGAGGCAGAGTGATTTTAAAAAAGTACATCTGTCAACCATCCAGCCTAAGAACTATAAAAACAAATTATCTTGGCAGCTGTATTTTTATGATTCCTTTGAACATTTAGTGAATGTTTAAATGTTACAGGAAATGTCCTTTATGTACATTAACTCATTTACATGTAGTGACTTATCATTGCTTATAACTCCCCCATGAGATAAGGACTAATATTACTCCCATTTTACATATGAGGAAACTGAGACCCAGAGAGTTAAGCAGTCTGCCTAAAGTCATATAGGGAGTAAGAAGGGAAGAGCTGTGCATCACGCCTGGCTGGCTCTACAGCAGATATGCCAGACCTTGACTGGAAGCACACGGCCTGAAGTCCCAAGGCTCAGCTCCGTTCTTGATTTGCCTGAGTGCTTTGATGTTCACATTAGACCAGTGTTTTGAGTTTAGAGTTTAATACTGTGTCAGTGTGGTCCAGATTTATTCCCTGCTGAGGAAGAGTATATTCTCATAATCAAGTTGGTGGAAACTCAGAGCTCATCCACCTTTTCAGGTCAGAACAAAATGTCTCTCAGTACCCGAGACAAAGCCAGGGGCCTTTTATTAGCACCTAAGAGGTTGGATGTGAGAGCACTGAAGCATGATTGCGTGTGGAGACTCTCAACTGCAGATGGAAGAGTCACATTAGATGTGATGCAGTCACTGTCCCCAGTCACTCATTAGATGAATGTGGTGCTTAGGAGATTTTGCAGTTTGGCCTGTCAAGAGTCACCTTGAAAGTACCACTGGTTCGCTGCAGCATGGCCCAGAAAGGTAGATAAGTCTATCAAAGCCTCCTTCCCTTTTATTTATTTATTTTTAAAAGTCTTTATTGATTTCAGAGAGAGGAAAGGAGAGGGGAGAGAGAGAGAGAAACATCAATGATGAGAGTGTCATTGATCAGCTGCCTCCTGCATGCCCCCTACTGGGGATCGAGCCCACAACCCGGGCATGTGCCCTGACTGGGAATCCAACTGCAATCTCCTGGATCCTAGGTCGATGCTTAACTGCTGAGCCACGCCTGGCCGGGCATTTAAATTTTTTTTTAAAATATATATATATATATACATATATATATATATGTTTTATTGATTTCAGAGAGAGGAAAGGAGAGGGAGGGAGAAGAGATAGGAACATCAGTGGTGAGAGAGAGTCATTGATCGGCTGCCTCCTGCGCTATCCCGAGCCTGCAGCCCAGGCATGTGCCCTGCCCAGGAATCAAACAGTGATCTCCTGGGTCATAGGTCAATGCTCAACCACTGAGCCACGCCCATCGAGCCTCCTTCCCTTTTAAATCGCTTGTTTCTATGAATTAGCCTGAAGGTAAGAGGATACTAGTAGTCTGTTATGCCGAGCATTTTGATGTTTTGTGTCATGGTATTTTATAGAATGCCTCAAAAGAAGAATTCCATTTGAAATTGAGAGAATCTGGACAAAGAAATTAGTTGAGTAGAATGGTTACTTGCCAGTAGTCTTTAATCTGCTGTGTCTCTACCTCTTTGAGAATCTGTGGTGAGGTGGTGGTGGGGGTGATGATGGTGATGATGGTGATGGCAGCCAACAGCTTACTAATTTATTGAGTACTTAGTATGTCCCTAGTGCTGGTGCTTTAGGTGTGTTGACTCACTTAAGCTTCTAACAACCCAGTGAGAGAGGTACTATTATTCCTCCTATTTTGTAGATGAGGAAACTGTGCCCCACATAGGTTAGGTAATTTTCCCAAGATCACACAGTGTGTAATTGGATATTCAAGTTTCACACCCAGGTAGTCTGGCCCTAGCTCCAGCCTTTAACCTCCAAACTACACTGCTGCTCAGGACAGCTGTGGGGCCTCTCCCCAGAAGGTGTGCTACGGACTTTCCTTCCCCTTTCCAGTCCTCGACTGCGGTTTAAATCCCACCCTAGACTTACGTAAATTTCTTGCTGGCAGAGATTATATCTTACTAACTTTGCTTGGTACTTAGTAGAAGTGAAATAAATGTTAATGAGTGAGTAGTATGTTGGAAATGACCTTAGCTTTGTAGCCAGCCAGACCTGCCTGGGTTTCTATTTTTAAATTTCCTGGTTATAAAAATAATGCATGTTTACTATAGAAAATTTTAAGTGTATGAAGAAGAAAGTAAGTTCCTCATAATGACACTACCTAGGGATAGCCACCGTTAGCATTTTGAAATATTTTATGTCTTTTTTAGTGCAAATGTGTATTTATGTGTACTTATATTTTTAAATCAAATTTGAATTATATATATACAGTTGCATGCTGTTTTTTTTTCTTATAGTATATTGAAAGGATATCTCCACTTTGTTAAAAATCTTCAAGAGCATAATGTAAAATTTTTATTTAGATATAACATACCATATAATTTAATGTTTTAAAGTATACGCTTCAAAAGCCTGTGTAACCACCATCACTTTCTAATTCTGTAACATTTTTATCACTCAAAAATAAAAAATATAAATAAATAAATAAATAACCCACCAATACTGTGAAGACATTAAGGCTCACAGAAATTAAAGTGACTTACCCAAGGTCACTAAGGCTTCAAAATCTGCCAAATCAGAGTCCATGATCTAAAACCACTGCTTCCTAATTAAACGCTATCATTGCAAAACTTTTCCAGTTTGATTGCCCCAAAACACTATTGTTTTAATTTGCAATTTTTAATTATTCATGAGGATGAACTTTAAAAAAAAAGGTTTATTTTTATTTCTTTTGTGAATTAGCTGTTTGTCCATTTAAAAACTTTCAGTGTTAATGTTTTCCTTATTGATTTGTGTGATCTTTCTATTCTAATATTAGCTACTTATTTTTCATTTCATGGGATGGTTTTTTGGGGAAGTTTACATTTTTATATAGTCAAATCTATTGATCATTTTCCTTTAGGCATAGAAAGGCCTCCTTCATCTTGACCTTGGTGAAATAGTCATTGATATATTATCTTTTAAATATCTTAAATAATCACTTAAATTTTTTTGTTTTGTTTTTAAGTCATAAATCTACCTTATAGGTCTACTAATGATACTAGATTGGGAAATTTGCAGTCATCCCCTGAGACACTTTGGGGCATTTTTATGGCTTAAGGATAATTATTTTCCTATTCAAAGAGCCATCAATGGTTGATGTTTAATCATCATTCAAAGAAAAAACCACAGTAAATATGCTGTATACATACCTAGTACTAGTGGCTGCCAGTCTGAGAGATACATAGGGAGCCTTCCCCATGGACAGCATGTTGTGTAGCTTATGGGTTTTGTTTCAAGTACTGGTTCAAAAGCCCAGAAACCTGGGTCCCGGGTCTGGCCCTGCCGTTACCTAGATACATGACTTGGCAGGTCACTTAATTTCTGTCACTTTCTTCATCTGTAAAATGACAGGACTGAATTACGCCGTCTCTTTTAAGTTTAAATTAGTGATATGTGGCAGAGTGGCCTGAAGGCAGGCAGCGTGACAGGTGAAAGAAAGGCATGGGAGGGAGGAGTGGGTGAAGGGACAGAGGGAAAGGGGATGAGGGCTGAATCTGGGATGACAGGCAGTGTTGGGTGACAGCCCAGATGGAAGTTAGAGGGCAGGTAAGTTTGAAGTGAGTTGAAAGCTTCGTTGGACTTAGACTCCTGGAAGGAGTTCTATCTGCTATAGATAGCTGTTTGTGGCGCCAACAGAAAAGCCTGTGGGCAGGAGCAAAAGGAGGGCACTCCTTCCATTCTGAGACGAAAATTAGCACATGGTCACTGCTGTTAGGTACCTGCAGAGGGTCACCTCAGGACAAAGCTGAGCCCAACTGTACCAAAAGAGAGGCTGGAGCCACAGAAGAGTCCAGGAACTCGGTGATAGAGGTGACAAGACAGAGTGGTACCTGGCACTGCCCTGCAGTGTGCATTGACCCTCAGACTCTACCTGCCCAGTCTGGAGGCCAGGCATCTACTTCTATGGCAAAGACAGATCACCAGGCTTCCAGTGAATGCAGCATACAGTCTCTACTGTGATTCTTAAGAGGCTTTCTGATGATACTTGTCCTCACTGCTTAATTTTTTTTTTTTTTTTACAGATAACTGCAAAGAGTAGGCATATTTCACTAGTAAATGAACTAATAAATTACTTTCTGATTTATAGTTCTTTTCTGAACTTAGACGGTATTATCTAACCTCCCCAAGTCCATTTAACTGTGAGACTTACAGGATAGCGTTTTTGTATCTGCAGGGTTGACAACCAAGCCAGACCTTAAGTTCAAGCCATCGAGGGAAGTCTCTTGGCATCCAGCTAGTCAGCTGGCCTATTCCAACAGCTCTCTTTCCCAGATACATGTCTCCATCCATCGTTCAGCAGAGACCAGCAGGAGAAACAAGGTGCC